TCTTTTCCCATAAAACCATCAGATTATTTTCCGGTCATTGGCTTATGTCATCATTTCTGGTCTCCAAGGCCTAAAATAGCTAAGCTAAAAATCTTGCAGGCCTCAGCCTTCAGGTTCTTGCATTTCAGCTTGTCTTACTTATGTCTGATACATGATTCTTCTAAATACTGATCAATCTTATACTTTTATAATCCTACAAATTAACTCTAATTAACATACAATGAATATATGATATTACATGTTAATTAATCATAATATCACACAAATGAATAATAAACTAAAATCATTGGCTACATCTAATAGATTGGTGAAGCATGATTTCCCTTTCCAAAAGCCATGTTGATTCTTTTCCAACATAGCATGTTCATCTATGTGTCTACCATTCTGTTCTTTATTATAATTTCAACCAGCTTGCCTGATACTGAAGGTGGGCTTACTGTCTTGTAACTGCCAACATCAGTTCAGGAGTCTTTTATTAAAAAAAAAAAATCTGTTACATTAGCTATCCACCAGTCATCTGGTACGGAGTCTGATTTAAGTGATAGGGTACATACCCCAGTTAGTTGTTCTTCAATTTCCTATTTGAACTCCTTCAGAACTCTTGGGTGAATATCATCTGGTCCTAGTAACTTACTACTATTTAATTTATCAATTTGTTCCCAAAGCTCCTGTTGACAAATCAGTTTAGGACAGTTCCTCAGATTGGTCACCTAAAAGGAGTGTCTCAGATGTGGGAATCTCCCTCACATACTCTTTAGTGAAGACTGATGCAGAAAATTCATTTATCTTCTGCTCAACAGCCTTGTCTTCACTGGGTGATCCTTTACCACTTTGATCATTCAATGGCCTGAGTGTTTGGCAGGCTTCCTGCTTTTGATGTATATAAAAAAAAATTACTGTTATTTTATGTGACTTTTGCTAGTTGCTTTTCAAATTCTTTGTTTGCCTAATTATACTTTTACACTTAACTTGCCAGAGTTCATATGTTTGTTTCTCATTTCCTCCATAGGATTTTACTACCAATTTTTAGATGTCTTTTTGTCTCTAACTGCCTCTTTTACTCTGTTTAGCCATGGTGGCATTTTTTTTAGTCCTTTTACTGGGTTTTTTTGCCCTATTTGGGGTATACATATGGTATTTCTAAAAAGTTCCCATGCAGCTTGCAGGCGTTTCGCTCTTGTGACTGTTCCTTTTAATTTCCGTTTAATTGGCTTCCTCATTTTTGTGTAACTTTGTGTAACTTCCCCTTTTTGAAGTTAAATGCTACCGTGGAGGGTTTCTTTGGTATTTTGCCCCACGCATACACACAAGGATGTTAAATTTAAAGTACATTATGGTTGCTATTACTGAGCGGTTCAGTTATATTCACTTTTTGGACCAGAGCCTTTGCTCCACCTAGGATTAAATCAAGAATTGCCGCTCTCTTTTTGGGTTTCAGGACTAGTGGCTCCAAGAAGCCATCATTAATGATGTCTAGAAATTTAATCTCTGCACCCCATCCTGAGAGGACATGTTCCCAGTCAGTAGGGGAATAGTCAAAATCCCCCGTTATTACTCGGTTTTCTGTTTTAGTAGCTTCTCTAACTCGCTGAGCATTTCACAGTCACCATCACGGTCAGGTTGTCAGCAGTATATTATTGCTGCTGTGCTCTTATTATTCAAGCATGGAATTTCTATCCAGAGAGATTCTACGATACTGTTTGATTCATTTAAGATTTTCTTTCCTGACCTGCATGTGTTGTACCAGTAGCTCTCCCTCATCCCCTCCCACTGCCATTTTCCTCTTTCTCCACATTCCACTATGGATATCTTTTGGTAGCTTCTGCTTAGGATATGTTATGGATAGTTTTAATTTTCTGTAACTGTCTAGCTCATTCAGCTGCTACACACTCTATGTGCTCATCCCTACAGTTGCTGCATGTTAATTCTGTTCCTTCCATACAATCCTTATACGAGAGTTCTGCTCTGTGTTTACCACACCTTGTTTTCTCCTTGCAGGCAGCTGCCCGAACCTTTAACATTTATAACACCCCAAAGGGGACTGAAATATATGGTTTAACCCAGAAGAGTTGATATCCTATATTAACCCTGTCAGGTGGTAGTGAGTCTTTATGTTACTCAGCTGGCTGGGGTTCTTCCCCTCTCCTACTAATCAGTCACTTAACAAACAGCACTTGGTCCTTGTCTATACCCCTTTTAACTTCATCTTCCATCAGGCCTAGTGGAACCTCATAGAATATCAGGGTTGGAAAGGACCTCAGGAGTCATCTAGTCCAACCCCATGCTCAAAGCAGGACCAATCCCCAGACAGATTTTTGCCCCAAATCCCTCCCTCAAGGATTGAGCTCACAACCCTGGGTTTAGCAGGCCAATGCACAAACCACTGAGCTCTCTCTCCCCACCTCATATGTTACTCCTCCTTGTGTCAAATTTAGGTGGCTGGCAAATTACTTTTATTTTCTCTAAAGCTCTAGTTTTAATAAGTTTCTCAGCCTGTTCCTTAAGTGTACATTATACTAATATCTGTCCACCCTGAATTCTTTTAACTCTTAATGTATCTCAGATATACTGCCTAATCCATTCTGCTGTTTTAAGGGATTCATATCTCTTATCTTTACATCTTCAGCCAGTGAGTTGATTATAAGATGTCGATCCTTTTCCTTAATATTTTTTCCCCAATCCCACTCTGCTCCCTCTTTTTGAGATACAGATGTTTTGGTTAATTTTTCCTTC